ATTTTTTAACTTTGCTGTTATTGCTGGTGTGAGATGATATCTCGTTGTTTTGATTTGCATCTCTCTAAGGAGCTCTGGTAGCATAGTGGTTATGAATCAGGCTGCTCATCTCACGGTCAGCAGTTCGAAACTACCAGCTGTTCCATGGGAGAAAGATGAGGCTTTCTGCTCCTGTAAAAATGTACAGCCTCGGAAACCTTGTACAAGGTTGCTATGAGTCGAAACCAAGTCCACGGCACATAACAACAGCAATATAAGCCAAAGTATTTTCAATAACCTCATGCATGCAATAGTTGGACAGTGAATAAGGAAGACTGTAGAATTGATGCATTTGAGCTATGGTGTTGTAGGAGAATATTAAAAGTACCACGGACTGCCAAAAAAAGCAAATCAATCTGTGCTGGAAGAAATACAGCCCGAATGCTCCCTGGAAGTCAGGATGGCCAGACTTTGTGTTTCATACATGAACATCTTGTCTGGAGGGACCAGTCCATGAAGAAGGATATCTGTTTGGTAAAGTGGAGGTCATCGAAAAAGAAGACGCCCAACGAGATGGATTGGCACTTGGCAGCAGCCATGGGCTCAAATGTAGCAGTGATTGTGAGGTTGGTGCAGAACTGGGCAGTGTTCGTTCTTTTGTGCATAGGGTCGCTATGAGTTGGTACCAACTCGATGGCACCTGACAGCACCAACAATACCCAGCATCTCCAGAAATGTTTGCAACTCTTTTAGTCTGTGCCACCAATGGGGGTAATACCTGGGAAGGCACACAAATGCTGCCAGTTGGGGAAGAGGTGTCCATTAATACCAGGGGCAAGCAGGTGGTGTTGAGCTGGCAGATGGAGGCCCCAAAAAGAGGCCTTGAGGACCAGGGATGAGCCTGGGGGACTTTGGCTGTCTCTTCCAGCTGCTACATGGAAGGAAGTAAAGAAAAGAGGAAGTGTGTATGGGAGGAGAGAGGGGTAGGGACCAAGATATGGGCTGGTGACTGTCCTCACCTCCTGTCACCAGAAGCTGCATAGCCCCTCCAAACACCCCTCTGTGAAGGCAGTTCTGAGACTGTTTCCTTCCTCTTGCTCATTCTTGTACACCGCTGGCCATAGAAGCTCTTCCTCCGCTTCTCGGGGCAGGTCAGGGGAGGGGTTATGCTGGACCAGCTTGCTCTAGGGTTCCCGAGGCTGCCCTGGGCTCTAAGCCCCTGCCTGAGGAGTCTGCGTAGCAATCAGAAGAATCAGTGAGGGGGGACATTTTTTTTACAACCCCTGGCAGGGCACCACCCCTCTTAGGCCTTGAGGGCCAGGAAGGGGAAGTGTGTGTGTACATGGGGGCGTGGATTTCACATAGAAATTGTCTGTGGAAATAGTTTCCGACCATGGGCCTGAGTGTGTATGCATGTCAGTTCCTGTGGGTGTGTTGGTATGAGAGGTGGGGTCATGTAGAAAGGGTGTGGCTTGGTCAACCTCTACTCTTTGGCCATCTGCTTCTCCATCTAGTCCTCTCTTTTGGGCTGTTCATTGGGCAGCCAGGGTCCTTGTTTAGGGACTTCTGTCCCATGGTCCATCCTGGTGATTTCTTCAGGATAGGACTTGGAGTATGGGGTCTTTGAGTAGGGGCAGGGCTGGCTGTGGTGCTTACTCTGTGGGCTGGTGTCTTGGGTAGGCCTAGCCATGGGAGGGTTGCTATGGAAAGGGAGTTGGACCAACTTAAGTTCTCAACTAGATAGTTCGAGGCTGTAGCTTTGCTGACTTCTGATCCCTTTCTTTTAGGACCCCCACCCCCTTTTGGTAGATGCTGGGATGTTCACTGTGTCCCTGCTCATTTCTGTCTTTGTTCCTGTCTCACCCTTCTTAGGGTCAGGGGAGACAGAAGGGATATATCTCTGAGTCTTCCTTGGAGCATTGGACTTGGATCTACAGTGTCCCTTTCTCGGCATGGAGCCTGACCCATCTTTTGTCCCTCCTCCCTGCAGAGGGGGAAGTGAGAAGGAGGGGGGCCAGGGACCCTGCCTTCTGGGCTGAAAAAGCAGAAGTAAGGGGAGTAACAGGGCCCTCTGGCCACCAGCTTGAACCCCACTATGCAGACCCCAGCAGACTTCCCCAGGGTGGAGGGAGACTCAATCCCCTGTCCCAGAAAGGTGAGCAGAGAGGTGACCTGCCTCCAACGATGTTTGTCACTATAACGCTGGGCAAGGAATGAATATGGAGTATGGGGGGGGCTCTGCCCCCTGGGGTTTCCGGGTGACTGCCTCTGTCCCAAGGGAGTGTGCTCAGTCAGAGGCAGACTGACATTTGTGGAGGCTCAGATCTCAGAATGGGGTGAGTAGGCAGGGATTGCTGTTTCTTTGGCCCACCCCTACCCCTCTCTGAACCAGGCTTTCTGCCTATTTCTCCAAGGGGTTATATTCAAGGTCCCAGTTAACCCGCATGTTTCTGTGGCTGCTACACCCACTCCCCATCTGTCAGGGAGAGCTCTCTGAACATGGGACTGGTCAAGGCCTGGAGTGGGAAGTCCCCAGGCTGACCATAGGGATGAAGGTGGGGGTGGGATGCGGTGGGCAGGAAGTGGCTCTGGCTGATTTACCTGCCTACCCTTTCCTGGCACTCAAGGTTGGGCAGTTAGCCAGGGGAAGGTCTTAGGTTCAAATTGACTCTGGTGCCTGGTTTGTTTTGAGCCCGGATGAGTTAACTGTTCTCTGGGCCTCAGTCTCTTATTTTCAGAATGGAGATGTGGCTTTGGGGATGTTTGGAGTCAAAGTCAACAGATGACACTCAGGATCTGGCCTTTCAGCCCACTCTTAGGCCTAGACATCCTCAGGCCCTGGTGTGGGAAGAAAATTGGAGAAAAAAGGAGACCTCAGGGATGGATCTGCTATGAAGCTGCACTTCTGAGTTCTGGGCTTTGCAGTATAGCTCCTCCCCCTTCCCTACCCCAGGCAGACCAACAAGAAGCCAGACTTTTCTCTCCAACCCAGGGTCTCACCTTACCTGGTGAGGCCTGATCTACTGCTGGCTTTCAGATTCTATCCGCTCTGGACATCTGTCATTCAGTCCATCTACTTGGATCTCACTGATTGTCTCTGCTACTCTTCTGCTCTACCTTTTGGTTTCTGTCTCTGTCTCCACCTATTTTCACCTGCTGGCTACATGTTCCCATGTGTATCTGCCTATTAGGCTTGTGTCCCCTTTTGTCTCTGCCTGTTGGATTCAGGAACTCTGCTTTCTCTGCCTGTTGGGCATACAAGGGGACTTCAGAAGGTTCATGGAAAAATTCCGTTGTTCCACAAATGTTTTGAATGTCCCTTGTATGTCCCCATTTGCCTTTGCCTATTAGGTACGTGTCTACATCTGTTTCTGCCTGTTAGATACAAGTCCCCATCTGCCTCTGCCTGTTGGGTATGAGTCCCTATCCATCTCCCTTTTTTGGGTTCTTGTTCCTATCTGTCTCCACCTGTTGGATATGTGTCCCCATCTGCCTCTGTACATGCCCCTTTTGCCTTCACCTGTTGGCTGTGGGTTTCTCCCTGCCTCCTCCTGTTGAATATGAGTCTCCACCTGTCTCTGCCTGTTGGGTACATGTCCTGGTCTATCTCTGCCTGTTGGTATGTGTTCCCTCCTGCTCTGCTTGTCTTTATCTGTCTCTACCTCCCGGGTGCCTGCCTTTGCCTGTTGGGTGTCTCCCTTTATCTGCTTCCTTGTGCCTCTGCTGTTGAGTTCCTGTCTCCATCTCTACCTGATGAGTGCCTATCTCCACCTCTGCCTGATGGGCACCTATCTACTCTTCAGCAGCTGGGTTGGCATGGGGCTTTCCCTTTGCAGGCCCCACAGGGAGGCTAGGGGGAGGGCCAGAGACAGCCCTCAGTCATTGGGGAGGGGGAAGAGAGGAAGGGAACGTGGTGAGAGTGTAGGCTTGGAGCAGGGAAACCACAGGCCCTGAGTGATTGGCGTCCTGGGCTGGGCCCAGCCCCCGTCTTCACCCTGCACATCCGCCTTGGGCCCGGCCACCTTTGTGGCAGCCCCGGACACTGCCTGCTCTTGCCATGGTGCCCCGGCTCTGCCGGGTGGATGGAGCAGGATCCCAAGCTGCCCCGTCTGCGGCTTTGGGCCCTGCTCCCCTGGCTGTCCAGGAAGCAGCGGCCCAGGATCAGCCAGACCTCCATGCCTGCCCCGGGCCCTGGCTCTGGCCCCCGGCGGGACTCGGTGAGTGTGCCTGGATGTGCAGCCCTGTCTTGGCTGTGACCCTGAGAGCAGATGCTTGGGCAGTCAGTTTGGCCTAAGTTGGCTGTAGACTTCCCTGGCCCAGACCTGGCCATGGTGGATGACTGGCGCCTGTCCCGAGTTGCTTCCTGGGGAAGTGAGGAGGCACTTCAGGGATCTAAGGCAATGCTGGTGGGCTGGAGAGAGGGCAGAGGGATCCTAGGAGAGCCAGGAGTATCTCATGAAGGAAGTTTGAGAAGAAAGGCATTGAACTTGGCCTTAACTCCCAACCTTCCCAAGCTAGTGCTTACTGGTAGGGGAGCCCCAGATAACTCTTGGGTCTCTATGTACCTCAGCCTTGTCCTATTGGCAAGACAGATCGCCCTTTTCCCATCTTGATCAGCAACAAAGGCTCCGCCCTACCTCCCCTGTACAAGAATAAACCCTACTTCCTATTGTGGCAAAACCAAAAACCTTTGCAGCAGGGGGAGGGGAGCCCCACCAGGAGGGCCTGAGACCTGCCTGTGGGCTTCCACCAGAGCCGGGGGCAGGGGTTGGGGGTGGTTTGGAGGACTTCCTCCTGTCCATGCCTGGTCATCCTAGGCCAGAGCAGCAGGAATGCTTCCTGGCTTTTGAGGTCCTTTTTATGTTGATAAACCAGAGGCTGGCCCTGTTAGTGTAGCTACCTGGTTGGACCTATGGTGTCCTGTCTGCTGAAATCTGGTGAAAATGGGCTTGGACTTGGGGGGCAGATCCCCTATTGCCCCAGGTAGCATCCACCATGCCCACAGACTGTCTCTCCACCAGGATGAGGGCATTCTCAAGGAGATCTCCATCACGCACCACGTCAAGGCTGGCTCTGAGAAAGCTGACCCATCCCATTTTGAGCTCCTCAAGGTTTTGGGCCAGGGATCTTTTGGCAAAGTGAGTTCTAAGCCTACAGCTGGGAGGGAAGCTTTGATGATGTCAGAGGTGGGTTGTGAGGGTCACCTCAGGGCCCAACATGTGAGGAGTCACTTAAGGGATCAGAGGGGTGAGGGGCCACCTTGAGGCTCAAAGGATCAGGGGGCAAGGGTTGAAGGGCTTTCCCCCCACTGCTTTCCCAGGTCTTCTTGGTGCGGAAGGTCACTCGGCCTGATAGTGGACATCTCTATGCCATGAAGGTGTTGAAGAAGGCGACACTGAAAGGTGAGTGGGACCAGCTCCCCATGTGAGCACAGAGTTATGAAGACAACCTAGTCCTCAAGGGCCTTGAGTCTGATGGGGGAGGTAACGCTATTCTCAGGAGCGCCTAGTCTCAGGGAGGAGAAATTGGCCTGTTCTCAATGCTGCCTCACCTGATAGGGAAGACAGGGTCTGCTCAGAAAAAAAGACCAGGGCATTAGCCTTACCCCTCCACTTCATCCCCACTGTCACTCCTGAAGCCAAGTGCCAATGACTTCAGTTAAAGATAAATGTCTAGAAGAAGGCAGTGGGGTGAAAGTAGTGTTTGTGGTGGTGGTAGGACCCTCAAATATGAGGCATCAGTCTGGTTTGGCAGAGGTGTTCTGTCAGTAAACTTGCTTTATGATGCCAAGTTGGGGAGAAAGCTCTCTGGTCTCATTGTTCAGGATGGAAAAGGGCATGAAAGAAGAGGAGAAGGAGAGGTCAAGGCAGGGTCAGGAAGATGAATGGCACAGAGGTTAGGATGGAGCAGGAGCCAAGGTCTGGCATCCTGAGGATTTACAGGACTGTGACAATGGTCAGTAGAGTGCTTGGGCTGGATGTCAGCCCTTTGATTGGCTTGGAAACCATTGGGGACACAGACCAGGTGACGTGCGGGCAGTAGCAGGTATTAAGGGATGTTATGGTTCATGTGGCCCATGAAGGGCTGTCTGGGGTTGATGGTAGCTGGGTGCCCCTGGGCCAGCCTAGTGTAGGAATGGGGAGGACAAAGATGAAAAGACTTGGTCTTGCTTGAGAAAGGTCTCCCAGGCTGGACCAGGAAAGTCTAAACAGATCCTGGTGGACATAGTCATTTCTACGACACCCGACTGCTTATCCCAGGGGCTGGGAGAGTGGGTGGCCTACAGGAGGGTGGGCTGCACCCCAAAGAAGGAAGGCTCATAAGTCATAGGGACAACCAAGAAATAGTCATTTAAGCCATGGGCCCAGGATCGGGCAGTGTTTCGTTCTGCTGTGCATAGGGTCACTACGAGTTGGTAATGACTTAATGGCACCTAACAATAACAACAAGACAGAAAATGGTAGCAGATGGGCTCCACCTGAGCTGAGAGGAGAACCAGCCCAAGCAGAAGTACAGAGGCAGGAAAGCTCAAGGCGTTTTGGGGAAATGGTGGTTGGAAGAGACAACCCCAGGAGGAAATAAAAATGAGAATAGAGGGTAAAAGTGCTACAAAGTGGGCGGTACAGAGGCCCTGACCCAGCTTGGGAAGTTAAGAAAGGCTTCCTGGAGGAGGTGAGGCCTGAACTGAGTCCAAGAAGGAGACACATTTAATGGTCCCCAACCTACTGGGGATCAGAATTGCCTGGGGACTTTGTTCTTAAAATAATGTGTTGTACCCATGTACAGTTCATGTACCCAGACCCATGAATTAAAACTTTAGGCCCAGGGAATCTGCATTTCACTCTAATTCCCCAGGTAGCTTGTGTAGTTTATAGACTGGAATTTGGGGATTGTTATGTTAGATGAAGAAGCGGGTGGGTCAAGCATCCCAGGAGGAGCTATAGAGGCAAAGGCTTGGGATTCTGCAAAAGTTAAATAAATGGTAACTAAGTTGCTCAGACCAGCTGGATCGAATGGCACTTGATATGGGTCATGGTGGGAGAGGACTAGAGAGATGAGCAGGGAATCAAAGACCCATCCCTTGGCCCTGCATGAGGACTTCAGGCAGAAAGTAGGATGAGGAGCCAGAAACAGATTGAGAAGGAAGAACAAAACATGAAGATTGGGTGTCCTCAAAGCCCTGGGTGAGGGAGCTACAGGAACTCAACCCTGGAGGAACAGGTAGAAAAGAGGACCCTTCTCAGCCAAGGCCTGGGGAGTGACTGTTGGATGACTGGACTCTTGGGAGTATTCTAGTATCACCTGTTTGCCCCTCTGACCAGTGCGTGATCGTGTCCGGACCAAGATGGAGAGAGACATCCTGGCTGATGTCAACCATCCATTTGTAGTGAAGCTGCATTACGGTGAGACTGCAGACCCTACCTACCCTCTCACCAGCCTTCACCTGTGCCTCTGGCAGCTGCCTTCCTTGTATCTTGTGCCTCCTCCCACCAGGCAGGGCAAGAGGGAAGAGGAAGTAGGTTCTGGGGCATGGCTGCTTCTACCTTTGCCTTTTCCCCTCTCCCAGCCTTTCAGACCGAGGGCAAGCTCTATCTCATTCTGGACTTCCTGCGTGGTGGAGACCTCTTCACACGGCTCTCTAAAGAGGTGAGCCAACATCCCACTGACAGAGGACCTGAGGATAGAGCTGGGAGGAAAATGTGGTCTCCCATCCCAGGACCCTGCCAAACAGTATGGCTGGACCTGGGACCACCCAGGCCTGCCTAGCAGCCCCTCATCCTGGAAATATCACCTCTGTGGGACATAACCCTGACAGAACCTCTGAGCATTCCCCCAAGATGGACTCTGGAGGGTCAGACCATAGATTCTGATGTTGCCCTGACTTTGGGGATTAAGGGGGCTCTTATCTCTCCGCCTGTTTTCCCAGGGCTGCCCTGGGCTGGCTGAGGGAAAACCCTAAATTCACCCAGAAAACTCAAAACTAATATTCTTGTCCCACTTGTTTATCAAAAGGCTTTTAAACTAATAAAAATGGTATGAACTAAACAAAAATGGGCCCGTTAATACAACTCAAACTTTAAAGAGAGCCAACCTTTTAAAAAAAAAAAAAAATTTTTTTTTAAATTTTATTTTAATGCTTGAGAAGGTAGGACACTTAATTCAAAAGACAAATATTTATTGAGAAGTCTTGTTCCTACCCCAGCCCTGTCAGCTTCCCCATAGGCAAACAGTTCAATTGGCAAATAAAGCTTCCATGTTTCTTTGGCAAATACAAACAAATCTGATATATGTTCTGAATCCCGACTCTCAAGAAGAGTGATTCTGTGTACTGTTCTGAACCTTGTTTTTTCTGTTTGACAGTGTATCTTGGAGAGTGTTCTAGAGCAGAACAAAGAGAAAGCCCTTGTTCTAGTTTAGGGTTGTGGTGCTCTTGTGAAATGCCAACCTGTAGCAACCCTCTGTAGAGTTTCTGAGAAGCAGCTGGTGGGTTGGAACCACTGATCTTCTGGTTAGCAGTCCAGCACCTATTCTACAGAGCCACACCAGGACTTGGTTGTGTAACACTCCATTATGTGGGAGAGAGACAGTTTATTTGAGTCTGCTACTGCAGAACCTGTGAAATATTGATACCTGTGGACTATTACTAAACAATCGCACAATGAGTAACTTGTGTATTAGTTATTTCATACTTCAAAATGAGGTATAAAAAGGAGGAGATAGAGCATTGGGCTCCCTAAGCGTCTTCACCAAAGTGGACCCTCAGGACTAGGAAGCAACTGGACTGCCCAGTACCACTGCTGAAGCTTCCTCCCGCCTGTTACAGGTCATGTTCACAGAGGAGGATGTGAAGTTCTACCTGGCTGAGTTGGCTTTGGGCCTCGACCACTTGCATAGTCTGGGCATTATCTACAGAGACCTCAAGCCTGAGAAGTGAGTGAAGCCGTAACCTTACACCAGCCTCCCTAGGGAGTGCAGAGACAGACTCTGTGGGGGCCTCTTCTAGTACAGGGCCACTCTGATGGTCTGTCTCATGAGTGGGTGGATGGAATTGGGTGGTGGAAGCAAGTTCACCTTGCAGGTGTGTGACTTCATTGTAGCTAGTGCTGCAGACACCATCCAGACAGGTGTGGTACGTGCCTTTTTCTGCTAATCCAGTGTGATGTGTGAAATGCTAATATTAAAGCTCATTTCTTTGGTTCAATTTGAGCTTCTCTAGAGTTTTTCTTAACATCTGAATATCCTCGGATGAAAGCTTGGTAAAGTGGAATGAGAGCTGGCTTTAGAGTTAACCCAAACCCACTGCCATTGAGTCTGTTCCCACTCATAGCAACATTGAAGAGGGTTTCCAAGGCTCTAAATCTTTATGGGCGCATACAGTCTCTCATCTTTCTCCGGTAGAGCAGCTGGTGGGTTTGAACTGCCGTGGTTAGTAGTCCAGTGCTTTATCCTACAGCACCACCAGGGCTCCTGGTCTTAGATTTAGCAGATCTGAAGTAGAATCCTTCAGCACCTACTAAGCTCTATGACATGAGGAGTTACTTAGCCTCCCTCCACCTTAGGTCCCTTCCTTGTGATTAACATGGGGCCGTAATAATACCTAGCTCAGACAGTTGTATTTTTAAGCTTTTTATTGCGAATTGAGTGACGGTTTACAGATAAGATCATTACTTTTACATTCACCAAATCACACACTTTGTTTCATCTCAATGATTGCAATCCTCTCCAGGCAACAACAGTTATCCCACTCCCTCCCTGTGGTTCCTGTTTCCATTCAGTCTTCCTTTTCATTCCCTTCTCAACTCTGTCCTGAGGTAAATGTTGCTCCTTAAATCTTAAATGATCAGCTAATGTTGTTGTCTCCTTATATACCTATCTACTACTTGGCTGAAAATTGGGCCATGAGGGTGAGTGAGTTCTGTTCCAGACCTGAAGGAAGAGTGGTTGAGGGCCATAGTCTCTTAGATTCCTCCAGTCTCCTGACTAGTAAGCCCAATCTTTTTTTCTTTTAAATAATTTTGAGTTTTGTTCCACATTCTCTCTCACTCTATCTGGGACCTTCTAATATGATTCTTTTCAGAGCAGTTGATAGTGGTAGTCAGGCACCATCTAGTTCTGGTCTCAGAGTCGAGGTGACTGATGTCCACCTGCTCCATCGGTCCATTGGACTAGTTGATTCCCAGCATCTTCAGTTTTCATCACTCTTCTTCCCTCTGCACATGAAGAGACCAATAGTTCATACGGTTGTTTTAAGGATTAGCAAAAAAGGTAGGTAATATTATATGTTGAAAATGTGCCGTGGACTTTTACATATACAATATAGAAAAATAATAATAAAATAGTTGCTAGCTTTTTCTATGTGAAAGAGAAAAAGATAGGTGACACACCTCCCTGGCACTTGGTGGCAGCACTCGTGATTATCTAGTCCCTCACCCCCTCTCCAGCCACTCTTTCATCAGACAGAACTGGGTGGGGCACCTTCTCTGGGCCAGCCCAGAGTCCATGGCTCCCACAGCCGCGTGGTGTCACGAGAACCCATTGGGGACCACAGCTGTGGTCCCTGATTCCCATCTCTTTCCTACAGCATCCTTCTGGATGAGGAGGGCCACATCAAACTAACTGGTGAGTGAAGGGTGCCTGCCTCCTTGGGACCTGGAGGGAGGGCTGCATGCAGAGGGGGCTCTCATTCCTCCCAAGAGGGTGCACCAGGCACTGGGAAGTGCTCACAAGTCCCAGCCCCAGACTTGGAAAGCCCTGGGTTTGATCCCAGCTCCCTGCTTTGCTGACTGTGACCTTGGTCAAGTCTCCTCTCTTCTCTGAGTGGCTTGGGGTGATGTCTGTAGGGGGTTGGGTGTAGTGGTTGGCAGAGAGGGAAGCAGTGAAAGTGTGTCCTCTTGCCTTCCTTGACACAGACTTTGGCCTAAGCAAGGAGGCCATTGACCACGAGAAAAAGGCCTACTCCTTCTGCGGGACAGTGGAGTACATGGCCCCTGAGGTCGTCAACCGTCAGGGCCACACCCACAGTGCAGACTGGTGGTCCTATGGTGTGTTGATGGTGAGTACCCAGACAGGGGAAGGATCCAGCCCAACTGCTGGCCTCAGTTTACCCAGCTATACAGTGAGGGAGTTGGTAATCTTTAAGGTGCTCACTTCTCTGATACCCAAGCTGGGCTCACTCTCAACATAGCTGCAGTTTGCTTCCTTGGAAGAACCCCAGGTTTGGTTCCACCGGGTACACCCCTAACCTGAGATGGGTCCTTTCCCCAACCTGGGCCCTCAGTGCTCTCCTGAAGATCAAACACAGTTTTGTTTTTGCTCTGGGTGAGCTTGAATAGGCCAGCAAGAGTCCTGGGAATGGAGCCGAGTGGCCTAGGGCATACCACTGGGGCAGGAGGCTGGGGGTGTGGGAGACAGGGACTGGAACCTGAATAGACTCTTGTCCTCCACAGTTTGAGATGCTGACGGGCTCCCTGCCCTTCCAGGGGAAGGACCGGAAGGAGACAATGACACTGATCTTGAAGTAAGCACCAGCTCTTTCTTGGCACTTTAGGGTCTCCCTCCCACCCCAGTTTGAATAAAGTAATACCTTAGGTCCCCTCCCCTAGGCTAGCACCATGCTTCCTAGGCCCCCTATGCATCCACCAGGCTGGTGGAGGGGAGCCCAGAAGCCTTTGGGAGGTGAGTTAATGGATGGCTTGTCTGGGCTGAACTGAGACTAGACCTGGACTGAGTGACAGGAGGGAGATGGGGCCTCTGGGGCGGGGCTCAGTCCTCATGAGACCCTGGGGCTGTTTCAGGGCGAAGCTAGGCATGCCCCAGTTTCTGAGCACAGAAGCCCAGAGCCTCCTGCGGGCCCTGTTCAAACGGAATCCTGCCAACCGGCTTGGTAAGTACCCCGCTCGGGAGGTGACGTGGTGGTGGGGAGCAGGGTACAGCTGTAGCCTTGGCCACGGGGCCACATCTGGGGCTGAAAGGGGCCGTTGTCCTTTGTGTGGGTAGACAATGCCGCAGGCCACCCTGCTTTCTGGCTCCATGTGTGGAGATGGGGGTGGTGGTGACCTGTGTGTAGGGGAAGGCAGGAACTGAGTCATGCTCACTGCCCCTGGGGATGAGGACAGAGGCCCCTACATAGCTTCTCTGCCAAGGCTGCTAGTGCAAGAGAAATGAAGTGAGCTCAGGAGTCAGGAGGCTCAGGGCCCAGTTCCAGCCCTGGGTCAGGTCTCACTGATTGACACACAGTTGTTATATTGTTAAGTGCCGTCGAGTCAATTCTGACCCATAGCAACCCTGTATAGGGTTTCCAAGCAGCAGCTGGTGAGCTTGAACCATTGACCTTGCAGTTAAAACGGCTTTGCAGTCTGACGCATTAATCCACAGTGCCACACCAGGACTCCTGATACACAGTAGACCATCCATAAATATTTGTCAAATGACTCAATGCTATTTAATAACTCATTTATTTGAGTGTACGAATTAATGCCATTTAAGGCCAGTGACTTCATCTCCCTGAGCCCACACGTCTGTGTTTCCATTGGAGATGCAGTTCCCAAGCTAGCTCACAGGACTATGTTGATTCAATGAAACCGCATGGGCATGCTTGACATGTAAGAGGTGTTCAATACCTGCTGGCTTACATGACTCCTGGGTTCACCTGGATCATGACCAGATTTGTAAGGCCTGGTGTGGCACTATAGGAGAAGCACTTGACCTCAAGGTCAGTTTGAACTGCAAGATCTGCAGTTCAAGCTCACCAGCTGCTCCTTGGAAACCCTATACAGGGTCGCTATGAGTCTGAACCGAATTTATATCACTTAACAACAACAAAAAAAGTGTAGGCCCTTGAGGTCAAAAGGAGGGACAACCCTTCTCATGGTTGAAGGGGCAGTGGGAGAAGAACAGTGATGAGGCCTGGGCTGGGCGAGGTGTGGGGGTCCTAACTGTGTTGCCTTTGGCAAATTGCCTGTCTCTGGGCTTTTCTTCTCCTATTAGCACATAGGAACTTGATCATTAGAGGTTCCTGATTGTTGAAAATGCTGAGTAGGCAACAGTTCTTGGGGCAACGGCTGAGTGGATTTAGGACAGAACTAAATCCTTCCCTGCTCCAGCCCACTATGAGGTCACTCAACAGGCAGGGTGGTATTTGGGAGGCTGTCCATGGGCAGGCCCCTCATTTGGACTCTTGCAGGCTCCGGCCCTGATGGGGCAGAGGAAATCAAACGGCACGTCTTCTACTCCACCATTGATTGGAATGTGAGTGAATCCGTCCACCCCAGGGCCCTGGCCAGGGCTTCAGTGAAGGGTGGCGGGAGGTATCCTCTATTAACTAGGGCTTTGAATGCTGAAGCAGAAAATGATAGAATGACTTGAGGTATGTGCCCCTGTCTGCTGGGCATTGCAGCCTACACTCAAGACTTGCTTCCTCCTTCTGTTGTGGGGAGGGTGCCTGAGGTGGCCTGAGCACCTGCCCTGCCTTACAGAAGCTGTACCGTCGAGAGATCAAGCCACCCTTCAAGCCTGCTGTGGCTCAACCCGATGACACCTTCTACTTTGACACAGAGTTCACATCCCGTACGCCCAGGGGTGCGTTCCTTATCCGGGTTTGTCTGTCTTGGGCCAGTACAGGAGGGCACAGGGAGTCCAGAGCTGGTCAGAGACCCACACCAGGTGTGTGGGCAGGCAGGGTGAGTGTCTGGCCCCGTGGGACTCTTAACTCTTTGTCCTGGTGTTACTTTGCCAGACTTTCCCACTCTGATACTGTGTGGCCCTCTTTGTGTCTGAGTGAGGGAGTGGGGGTGAGTGGGTGGGTGAGGGTACAATAGAAATGTCAGGACCCCTGCCCTGGGCATTTTTCAGCCCCCTGGGAAGAACAGACACATCAGGCTCACACTCACGTCAGGGCTAAAGAATTGGACACAGCAAAACTCCATGATGGGGACAGTCTGGTAATCTGGAGAGCTGGGTGACAGTGTTCAACAGGTCAGGGGCGAGTGTAGGAATTGGCTTTAGCTGCCCTAGATGCTGGGCCTCAGCGTGCCATCTGGAACATGGGCACAACCATTCATTTCCTGGGGTTGCCACAAGAATCCAGTGAGGAGGCTTCTGGAAAAGAACTTGGTGAATCCTCACTTTTTTAGCATCTTATTGACGTTAGTTCTGGGAGGGGCAGGTTGTGGCAGAGGGGTTGCTTGTGCTTTTTCACTGTGTTTTGCACATTCCTGGTGAACAGGGAGCTCGGCACTTCTCAAACAGTCTGTCTCATCTTCATTCATTTGTCTGAAAAATCTGTACTGGGTCATTCCTGTGTGTCAGGGTGTGGAGAATGATGGTGAACAAGACAGACCCAGTCCCTGCTTTCCTCCAGCCCTGGCTGCAGTGGAGGGAAGAGACATGAGAACAACTGCTGGGCAGTGGGACCAGGGCAGCTCCAGGGGGGTGAGGGGTCAGAGTAGCAGCATCAGGCAAAGCTTCTCAGAGGACAGAATGTATGTGCTGAGCCTTGGGAGATGGACAGGAAGTGGATGACCTAGTTAGAGGGAACAGCATGTGCAGTGGCTCAGAGACCCCTTCCTTTAAGGAACTGAGAAGTTCTTTGTGGCTGAGCTGTGGGGTTGGGGGAGAGGATGCTAAGAGGTTAGCAGCAGCCAGATCACAAGAACCTCAGTTGCTAGACCAAGGAGTTGGACTTTACCCTGAGGGCAGAGGGGAGCATTTGAAGGTGCAGGCAGGGTGGCAATGTGGTCAGATTTGTGCCTGGGACCATCACTTTGCCTGCGGCCCAGAGAAGAGCCTGAAGGGACAGTGTGCCTGAGATGAGGAGGCCTGGGCGGAGGCACCAGCAAGAGATCAAGTGTCTGGACCTGGGCTAGAGGCCAGCTGTGGACGTCTGTCATGTTCTAGTGTGTCGGGACTGGGCTGGTGTCAACACACATTGTACAGCTTGCTCAGGAGGGTCCCACCACATGCCTCAGGCTTCTGTCCCTCTCCCACCCCCGCAGACTCCCCAGGCATCCCCCCTAGTGCTGGTGCTCATCAGCTCTTCCGAGGCTTCAGCTTCGTGGCCACCGGCCTGATGGAGGATGACAGCAAGGCTCGGGCCACACAGGCACCGCTGCACTCGGTGGTACAGGTGAGGGGGGATGGGGGATGGCTGCTCAGTGGTCCTCTTCCATTTAGAAACCACAAGCTAGAACAGCCGAGGACACAGGCTCTGTACAGGTCCTCCATCCTCTCTGAGGCTGTTCCATGTCTGTAAGACAGAGGTACTGAAGACTGGATGACCACAGGGCCTGGGTAAATGCCAGGAGACCTCAGGTGGTGGGGCAGAGCCCTGAAGTGGTGCCTTATGTCACCTCACACTTATTCCCCACTTGTCTCCGTTTCCATGGAAAATCGAGAGTTGAAAGGGTTCAGAGTTTACAAGGTAAGGGACTCTGGATGAGCCACTCTCTCGGTGCCTCAATTTACTCATCTGTAAAATGGGGATAATAATAGAGCCTTTCCCCATAGGGTTGTTGTGAGGATTGCAGGAATTAATATGTCTAATGTTAAGGTGACTATATAGTTTATTCTCTTAAACTGGGTGGACTGTCTTTGTCTAGGCCAGATACTAAACCAGATGGCTGCAGGGACAGCAGACCTAAGCTAGCGCTGTCCAAGGCAGGCAGAGAAGTGTGTTCACCTGTGAAATGTGCTTAGAATAGTGTGGCACACACTAAGCACCATATACATTTGCTATTTTAATGCCTCAGAGCTCTGCGAACACCCTATGAGGTAGGCTGGGGCACCCTAGAAGGAGGAAGAAGCTCAGCTAGGGCCACAGTAAGTACCAGAAGTAGGACCCGACTTGGCTGCTACGTCACATCCAGGTCTGCCCAGGCTCCGAACCACAAACCTTCCAGTGCATGTGTTGTGGCCCCACCCCTTGACCACAGACTGTAGCCCTGGCTGCTGGAAGTCTGCCCAGCATATATAGTAGAAAACAGGCTCAGAGTGGGACAGGCTCAGAGCGGGACAGGTTCTTGCCCCAAGTCACACAGCTAATGCTCCACCTCAGGCCTCCTGACTCTTGCCTGGTGCCATGTCCATTGTGCCAAGATCCTGGGTGCTGGGAGATGACCCTTGGTATTGTAAAGCAGGTGTCAACCTCAACTCTTGGTCTCCTACAGCAACTCCACGGAAAGAATCTGGTTTTTAGTGACGGCTACGTGGTAAAGGAGACAATTGGTGTGGGCTCCTACTCCGTGTGTAAGCGCTGTGTGCACAAGGCCACCAATATGGAGTATGCTGTCAAGGTGGGCCTCCCAACCATGTGTTGTTTGGGTGGGGCTGATGGTGGAGCCAGTATAGTGAGGTCCTTTTTGGGGAGGGCTGGGGCCCAGGGCTCTGGGGATGGGTGAACCAGTGTGCAGCTCAGGCCCCTGAGCCCTACATTTCATGGCAGGAAGGAACTTTGGAATCTGTCCTGTCACTGCCATGTGCACTCCCTTACCTCAGGTCATTGACAAGAGCAAGCGGGACCCTTCGGAAGAGATTGAGATTCTTCTGCGGTACGGGCAGCATCCCAACATCATCACTCTGAAAGATGTGAGTGCAGGTCCTTGAGTCTGGGGTGAGGACTGGGGCAGTCAGTCATCTAGGACTTTGTCTCAGGGCATTCCTTGAATCGCCGACCCTCCTTCTAGAGTTATGTGAAGCAAAGGAGGACCCTTATTCCCTCTGGTCTGACCTTACCCCAAAGGAGCCTCCAGCCTAGATTTGGGTAAATCTCTGAGAGCTTTCCTGCCCTTTTGGGGGGCCATTGTCAATGCCAGTATCCCCACGCCCAGAGAGGACAGAAGCTCAAAGAGGAAAGCCCTAGCAGGGCCACTAAAGCACAACATGTACCAAAGGTCCCAACATCCTGGGTAGGGTCACTCTGCTGGTACTCTGAGGGAGTGGAGTCTGACCATGAAGTCTCCCGCAGGTGTATGATGATGGCAAACATGTGTACTTGGTGACCGAGCTGATGCGGGGTGGGGAGCTGCTGGACAAAATCCTGCGGCAAAAGTTCTTCTCAGAGCGAGAAGCCAGCTTTGTCCTACACACTATCAGCAAGACTGTGGAGTATCTACACTCACAGGGGGTAAGTTTGGGGCCAGGACTGAGAGCCAGGGGGATACTGCCAAGGATCATACCATCAACAGACTGTAAGAACCGTGGGCTCATGTCAGCAGCAGAAGTCCCCAGCCAAATGGGGGCTAACGATAAGGTGGTGGAGCAGTGGATGAGTGAGCCGCTGAAGCATGTGAGTGTGTAGGTGGATGAATAAAAGGAATGGGTAGAAAAATAAGGAAAGAAGAAGGGTAAGAGGGAGAAAAGATGGAAGGAAGGAAAAGGAGTGGGTGAGGCCAAATTACAGAAAAGACAATTTATTATATCAACTACGTGCCAAGCACCATTCTAAGTTCTGCATTATCTCATTTCATTTTCATAACACCTCTGTGAAGTAATGCTGTGATTGGCCCAACTTTATAGGTAAGAAGACTGAAGCTCAGAGAATATGAGGTCACCTACCTAAGGTCACACAGCCAAGGAAGGAGGGAGCCAGCGTGCCAGGCAGAGGGATTTAGGTGGCAGGAGCAGTGGTGGTTTTAGAGCCAGGGAATGCCAGGGTCACTGTGGGGCTTTAGAGAGGAACTTGGCTGTGGGTTTTGCTGATAGGACAAAGGAAGTGATGCAGGAGGGTGAGCTGCTGGAGACAGCAGGTGCTGCACAAGAGGCTTAGGTCCAGGCTTAGGTCCAACCTGTATTATATATGACAAGTAAGTGCTGGACAGCCTTCCAGCAAAGCTGAAAGGAGGTAGAACTGTCTTTTACAGGACCTTAAAGCCTCAAACAGTCAAGTTAGGGTGAGTTTCTCTCTATATAAGGAGATATTTTAGGGTGCTTCTAGTCAGACAACGTGGGGGGTAAGAATGCAGGTTCTGTCCTGATGCAGGTCACAACATGGATGGACCTTGAAAACATCATGCTGAGGAAATTAGTTCCAAAAATACTGTGTGATCTCATTTATATAAAATAAGCAAAGGATAGAAACCAAACATTACTAGGATTGTAAGGGAGAGGGAAATGGGGAGTTCTGGCACTGCGTTTATGTTTAATGGCGGTACAGTAATTTGGAAAAGGATTGCAAGAATGGGGCACAACTTGAAGAATATAATCAGTGTTACTGAATGATACTTGTGGAAATTGTGGCATTGATGTATGTTTTGTCGTGTACATTTTTATCGCAATTAAAAATGAAAGAAAGCAGGTTCTAGAATGACTGCTTGCATCCAAATCCTGGCTTCTCTGCACTTACCTGTATGAGGGTGGGCAAACCGCTTCACCTCTCTGAGACATCTCATCTGCAAACTCACAATAACAAGAGCTGCCACCTCACAGGGTGCTTGTGAGTGTGTAGTGAGGCCTGGTGCCTGGGAAAATATGCAGGCTTATGGCAAACACCACGATAGGGAAGAAATAAGACTAGACTATTGCCATGTAGGTCTCTCTCGAAAAAAATATTATAGAAATGCTTAATCATCTACAAAACCATAAGGAATAGTATAATGGACCCCCATATGCTACCATCACTCCGATTTAAACATTGTTGAGATTTTTACTACACTTGCTTCACTCCCCCCTCCCTCATTTTTTCTTGTTGCTGGATGAAGTATTTTCCCCAGCTTTTTGTTGAGAAAAAAGTTCAAACCCACAGAACAGTTAAAAGAACTGTACAATGAAAACCAATTATTTTCTGGGTTCATCAAATCTAAACAGTCTGCCACATTTGCAATATCTCTGTCTCTCTCTCTATATATAAATACATATTGTTTTGCTGATGCAATGAAAGGAAATTGCAGATGAAACTTGCCCCGTAAGTGCTCATAACTGAAGCATTTTAAAGCATGTTTCAGGCCTCATACCATCTTTCTCCTATTTCCACATTTCCACAACTCTAAAAAAGGTAAACACTTTCCTTCTTTACAGCTAACAAAATGAACAATGACACAGTATTCAGTCTGTAGCCACATTTCCTCTATTGTCTCAAAAATACCTTTATAATTTGTTTAGTAGAATCAGGACCCCTGGAAGGCCACACATCTCATTCATTTATTATATCCCTGAAGTCGCTGTAAAAAAAAAAAAAAAAAATGGAGGTGACTTTTACATACAGTGAAATATACAGATCATAGTTTGAGAGTTTTGTTAAATGTGCATGCCATGTAAGACCCCCCTTTTTAAAATACCACTGAGTAGTTGTAGAGATCAGTTAATCTCTGTAATGTGCCCATTCTGAATTTTTCTGTTTACTGCCTTGTGGCATCATTTAAATTTTCCTTGTGGCGTGTTACAAGTTACTCTAAAGTCTTAATTAGATCTATCTTCCATTATGTATGTGTGTGGAGTGGGGGTGGGAGGACATTCTGAACACGTCACATGAGGTGCAGGGTGCACACTGAGTCACGTTGTCCTGGTAAATTGATAACAGCCTAATCTCCTCATTGAAAGAATCCCTCCCTATCAAACCTCATCAACGTTTCATCCTTTGAGGTTCTTTGGCTCAATCAATTATTTCATTATTGTTATTGTTAGGTATTGTTTAGTTGGTTTTGACTCACAGCGACCCCACGTACAACAGAATGAAACACTGCCCAGTGCTGCACCACCCTCGCCTTTATTGCTATGTTTGAGCCCATTGTTGTAGCCACTGTATCAGTCCATGGTATTAAGGCTCTTCCTCTTTTAACTGACCCTCTACTTTAGCAAGCATGATGTCCTTCTCCATGGACTGCTGCGCTTGATAACACGTCCAGAGTATGTGAGATGAAATTTCATCGTCCTCTCTTCTAAGGAGTATTCTGGCTGTACTTCTTTCAACACAGATTTGTTTGTCCTTCTGGCAGTCCTTGGTATAGTCAATATTCTTTCCCAGCAGCATAATTCAAGTGCATTCATGCTTCTGTCTTCCTATTCCTATAGATAGCCACATTTCCCCAATGTTCTTATTTTTTTTTTAAGGTTTTTAATTGTGGATTGAGTGAAAGTTTACAGGGCATATCATCAGGTTTACATTCAACAGGTCATATACCTTGTTACATTACATTGATTATAATCCCCTCCATGTACCATCAGTTAACAGTGTTGCTCTCTATTCACTTTAGCTTTTTAAAAAACACACAAACAAAAAACCCCACTCAGGCATATATAATAATTTACATCTCCAAAGGGCACATTCTGCAAGTCTGCTCCTGGCCACCAGTTCTTAGTCCCTCTCTTCTTAGTCCAGGAATCTATAGTCCTCAGCCGCTCGCCCTCTCCATGCCCCCATCTCTTTCTCCATCTCTAGCACTGCTGCTTCTCTGGATAAGGTCCCGCATTCTGCTTGTACGTTCCTCTCTTGATGGTCCTAGGATCCTCTGTTTCTGGACTGTAAGATTAACCACTCCCCTTTATTTGTTACAAAACTTCTACCTTTACAATTGTGACAGTCACGATTAGTCATGATAACAGTTATTCACTATTGAATCTTACAAATCTTATCCCCATATCTTTTCACCAGACCCATCTAGACAAGATGACAGCTATTCAGTGGGGACACTTTCTTTCCCCCCATACTCTTAAACTAAACTCCCTCTTGAAACCTTGTAAGCCAGTCACTTAGTGCCCCCTCATTTTAGATAGCCAGTGTCTAAGTTGCCTGTTCCTATCTACCCTGTGTACAGAGTGGATAGCATTGAAGCTTAATTTGAAGACTCTTTCTCTCTCTGTTGTATTTAGAGTAACTACCGCTCTGAGTATAGGTCAGGTTCATCATGAAGATGCATCATCTGTCACTGTAGCTATTCCAGTCTGCTTGTCCTTTCTAGTGGGAATGTCTCATCTCACAAGGTTGTGGATGGGACTCAGGATTCCACCTAAGGTCCTAT